TAAAAGCCCAGCAGCCTGGCAGTTTGGTCCCAGTAAAAGCCCAGCAGACTGGCAGCTGGCAGTATTCCCTCTCTGGAGGCTTCCTGATGGGAATGGACAAGGAGTTAGGATCCGGGGCAGGAAGGTTAGCTGGGAGCTGTACCCCTGACCCCGGAGTGGCTCCCTCACAGTCTGGTGTGACTCCATTCCCTCTCGCTGGGAATACTCCTGATTCTGAACAAGAGCAGAAACGATTCTCTTCAAACCTCCCTGCTGAATCTCATCGTCCAGCATCCTCCTCAGCCAGGGCCTTCCGGAAAGCTCTCTCCCACAGTTTCTCTGGAGAGAAGCCTCGGCCTGCAGCCAGGAAACGCTCCCTCACTCGAGGTTTCTCTGCAGACAAGGTGCCCTCATCTCCAGCTGTCAGGAAACTCTCCATCACCGCTGCATCTAAATCTGTGAAGCCTATCACAGCCAACAAGCCAACCCAGAAAGATGAGGCAAAGGCAGAAGAGTCCCACACTTGGAAGTTTGCCAGTTTCTTCAGCAAAAAAACAAGCAAAACATCAATGGGGGAGGGTGCCTCAGATGGGAGAGTGAAAAAAGAGGTTCTAGAAAGCCCTAGTCACAGCACTAACTCCTTGGCCAACTTTTTTAAACATTTCAGTGACAACAAAACAACTAAACTCAAAAATCCATCAAATGCCACCATAGTCTCACGCACAGATGATGGGACTGAGCCATCTTAACTTCTGAGTGTTACAGGCGGAAGGGAGGGGGGAGGGGGTACATGGGAGTTAGATCCTCGCTGCTGTCCTGCCAATGGCCTGAACAGAAATGCAGGATGCATCGGCTTCGTCAATGCCCATCAACAAATAGATGGAGTTTCATTGAGTGTCCTCTGTGTGTAATGTCTCTAAGTGTGAGGGATCGGAGAGGGCCGAAGGTCTGTTGTCCCGGGAGTGATTGGTAGGGAATGTCCATCACTCTCCGAATGAGGTGACAGCTGGAAATGGACAAATGCAGTGGGAGATTTGGAATTCTGTTGAAGACAGAGCTGGTCAATGAGTGGGGAACTGACAATGATGGTTGATCTCCTCTTCATTGATTGGCCTAGAGGAAGATGGTTTGAAGACGAGCCAGTTAATAACGAACAAAGAACAAGAGTAGGCCACTCAGCCCTTCGAACATACTCCATCATTGAATAATAATTCATAGCCAATTTGATATTAATCTGAATTCTGATATATCTGTGAGAATCTCTCATCCCCTTGGTCATAAAGAATCTGTCTATTCTGCCTTCAAGTGATAACTCCTCCAATTACCATCCACCTGTTGATGGAAGATCAGAATTTATGAGACATTAAGATGTGTTATGTTTTTGACAGTTTCAGTGAATGTGGAGTGAACTCTGTCATATGTTACATTTCAAAATGTCATATTGGGACGTGGAGAGATTGTCTCGAGAACATGAAAGTTGATGGTGTCTCCAGGCTCAGAGACTGAGTTGATTCTTCGCTGATGTCAGGTCAGTAGGGAGCGTATCCTCACTCATGCTCCCAGCTGGTCACTTCAAGCTGATCAGATAACAAAGGATTTGCTGAGGGATTCACCAATGATTTTGCAGAGGGACTGCGCAAATAGGTTTCTGTATTGAATAACTTGGATTAACCCAGGGTCAGGAATCCAGTGTGTTACAATGAAGCATCTTCTATTGAGCATGCTATCTCACACATCCATCCATCACTTTTCTGTTATTACCACATTCGTAATATTTTTAATGTAAGCTGTCACGATGGAATTCTAACATCCCACCAATGACCGTTCTTGTTGGAATGTAAATGTTGAATTTATAATGAAAGTCACCTAAAATAAACAAGCCTTTGAAATGGGAGCTGACTTATGTCGAATTACCTTGAACAATATCTGCACTTTGCCTCATCCACATCTACAGGACCTGTCCTGTTAGATTGCTCTGTTATTATCCAGCCCCATGCTTCTGTAATGTTTCCCTGTTCCAGCGTTTCGCTGATTCCTGTTTGAAAGTTCCGAGTGAATTTCCATTCATATTCCGCTCACACAGCGTGTCTCAGATCACAGCCCACCGTGTCAAAAAAAAACTTCCCTTTCTGGTCCTTGTCCTCGACTTTCTTAAAAGTGAATCATTGAGCCAGGGAATTGGTTACTACATCAGAAGGAGGCCACTTGGCCCACAGTGACTGTGTTGACCCTCTGGAGGAGTACCTCTGCCTGTTCCAGTTCACTGGCCTTCTCCAGGGCATTTGTACCATTTGTTGTTGCTCAGGTTGTTCTGACTGAGAGAGTGTCTGTTACTCTGGTTCCACTATGGGCTGCAACATCAAATAAAAATATTGTTCCCAAATATCAAGGTGACCAGCTGTAGAATTCCCCATCTCAGGTTTTAAACAGCAAGTTCAATCAGCCAGACCCCTCTATTAACAAGCTTATTATCTAAATAAATCATATTCAATGAAGAGACATTAACAGGTTCAGTAATAGAGAAATATAAATTTCTGAGGACTGGTGAGTAACTAATGTTGTTCCTGTGTTCAAGAAGGGGAAATAGGGATAATCCAGATAATATACATGGTGAGTCTCACATCAGTGGTTGGGAAGGAATTGGACAGAATTCTTAGGGATAGCCTTTACACACATTTGGAAAAGCATGGCTTAATTAGGGACAGTCAGCATGGCTTTGTGCAGGGCAGTTCATGTCTTAATAACTTGATTGAGTTTTTCAAGAAGGTGACAAATGTGATCGATGAGGGTAGAGCAGTGGATGTCGTCTACGTGGATTTTAATAAGGCTTTTGACAAGATCCCTCATGGTAGCCTCATCCAGAAGATTGAGATGCTTGGGATCCATGATGACTTGGCCTCTTGGATTCAGAATTGTCTTGCCCATAGGAGGCAGAGGGTAGTGGTGGAAGGGTGTTTCTCAGGCTGGAGCCCCTGACAAGTGGCGTTCTGCAGGGATCCATAATGGGACCTCTGCTGTTTATGATATATATAAATAACTTGGATGAAAATGTAGATGGGTGGATTAGTAAGTTTACAGACAACACAAAGATCAGTGGAGTTGTGAATAGTGTAGAAGGTTGTCAGACAGATATAGATCAGTTGCACATATGGGCGGAGAAATGGCAGATGAAGTTTAATCCCAGTAAGTGTGAGGTACTGCACTTTGGGAGATCAAATGTTAGGGAAAAATATACAGTTAATGGCAGGACCCAGACCAGCACTGATGTACTAAAGGATCTTGGGGTTTAAGTCCACACCTCGCTGAAAGTGGCCACGCAAGTAGATAGGGTGGCAAAGAAGGCATTTGGCATGCTTGCCTTTATTGGTCGGGAAATTGAGTATAAGAGTCAGGATGTCATGTTGCAGCTTTATAAGACTTTGGTTAGGCCACACTTAGAATATTCATTTAAATTCTGGTCGCCACATTATAGGAAGAATTTGGAGGCTTTAGAGAGGGTGCAGAAGAGGTTTACCAGGGTACTGCCCAGATTAGAGAGTATGAGCTATAAGGAGAGGCTAGAAAAACTCAGGTTGTTTTCTCTGGAGCAGAGAGGCTGAGGGGAATCTTGATAGAAGTCTATAAAATTATGAGATGCATAGGTAGGGTTGACGGTCAGAATCTTTTTCCAGAGTTGAAATGCCCAAAACTAGGGGGCATGCATTTAAGGTGAGAGGGGGAAAGTTCAAAGGAGACATGATGGGCAAGTTTTTTAACACAGGGAGTGGCAGGTGTCTGGAACGCACTTCCAGGGGTGCTGGTGGAGGCAGATATGATAGGGGATTTAAGGGACTTTTAGACAAACACATAAATATGCAAAGGATGTAGGGATATGGAGCAAGGCTGGCAGAAGGGATTAGTTTAATTTGGCATCATGTTCGGCACAACATCGTGGGCCAAAGGGCCCATTCCTGTGCTGTACCCTTCTATGTTCTATGTTCTTACCTCCATAAATATCCCCAAAATACTCTCACAGACATACGCACACTTCAGGGAAAGTAAGGAAAAAACACATTTCTCCATGGAGACTGGAGAAAAATCCACTTTGGTCAATGGATTATTCTTGAAGGGAAAAGCATAAAGTGTGGAATGATCTGGAATCTGTTGCTCTGACATATGTAACCTTTGAAGTCTTGCAGATATAGCTTGCTCAGGAAAATCAATCTTGAGATGTTCCTTCGATTACTCTCCAAAAAATTACCCTGACATGTTGTGGAGTGGTTTCTTTCTCAGAAATGGGAGGGATCAGCTAGCCAGCTTGTTCTTCACAGGCTCTCCTCCAGTCTCCACATGCTTCCGAAACCTTGAGGCCCATAACTGGACACAATGCTCCAGCTGAGGCTGGACCAGCAATGGTCCGCTTTCTGTGTTATATTTCATTTCAGTCTGGTCTCCAATCATCCTGCTACAGAAAATAGTTCCTCCTTTACTTGATCCAAACCACTCACCAATTTGGATACTTGAATTAAATCTACTCTTAACCTTCTTTGTTCTACACAGAATGATCCTAGTGTCTGCAATCTCTCCAGCTTCACTGAAGTAAGAATCTTCTGGCAATTCTTTTCTTGCTTGCTCTATTGACTGACTGTCACGGGGAACCAAAGCAAAAATGCCTGCCCAGCTCCCAATATCCTGCAGCAAATCCAAACTTTTCCGGAGGCCTCTCTGTTTGACTGGATTCTTTGGTTTGGTCTTTTCTCAGTGAAGACTCATGTTTCCCTCCATTTCCTGAGACTGGCCTATGAGACAGATCTGTCTTCAGAGCTGAGACACTGTGTGTATTCTGACCAGTCTGAACCAGCTCCTAACTGGCGGGAAATACTCTCTCTATCTCCTCTGCCCAATCTCTATCCCATCTGGAGTTCATCCTTCTCTGTAGAATGTTACAGCCTTAGGGTCAGGAACTATAGACTTGTGTTGCCATGGAGATAGAACATAGAACATAGAACATAGAACAGTACAGCACAGTACAGGCCCTTCGGCCCACGATGTTGTGCCAAACTTTTACCCTAATCCTAAGGCCTATCTAACCTCCACCCCTACCTTATACTATCATCCATATGCCTATTTAATAGCTGCTTAAATGCCCCTAATGAGGCTGACTCCACTACCCTCTCCAGCAATGCATTCCATGCCCCTACCACTCTCTGAATAAAGAACCGACCTCTGACATCTCCCCTGTATCTAACTCCACTCACTTTAAAACTGTGCTCCCTCGTAATAGCTACCTCCACCCTAGGAAAAAGTCTCTGGCTGTCTACTCTACCTATACCTCTGATCATTTTGTACACCTCTGTCAAGTCACCTCTCATCCTTCGTCATTCTAAAGAGAAAAGCCCTAGCTCTCTCAACCTTTCCTCGTAAGACCTTCCTTCCATTCCAGGCAACACTCTGGTAAATCTCCTCTGCACCTTTTCCAACGCTTCCACATCTTTCCTGTAATGAGGTGACCAGAACTGGACACAATACTCCAGATGTGGCCAAACCAGGCTTTTGTATAGCTGGAGCATAACTTCACGGCTCTTGAACTCAATCCCTCTATTAATGAAAGCTAACACACCATACGCCTTCTTAACAACTCTATCCACCTGGGTGGCAGCTTTCAGGCAACTGTGGACATGAACCCCAAGATCCCTCTGCTCCTCCACACTGCCAAGAATCTTTCCGTTAACCTTGTATTCTGCTTTCAAGTTTGTCCTTCCAAAATGAATCACCTCACACTTTTCAGGGTTAAACTCCATCTGCCACTTCTCAGCCCAGCTCTGCATCCTATCAATGTCCCTTTGTAACCTAGAATAGCCCTCCACACTATCCACAACTCGACCCACCTTTGTATTGTCTGCGAACTTGCTAATCCACCCTTCCGCTCCTTCATCCAAATCATTTACAAAAATCACAAATAGAAGAGGACCCAGAACAGATCCTTGTGGTACACCACTCGTAACTGAACACCATGTTGAATATTTTCCGTCCACTACCACCCTTTGTCTTCTAAGGGTCAGCCGATTCTGAATCCAATCTGCCACATTTCTCCCTATTCCCATGCCTCCTTACTTTCTGCATGAGCCTACCATGGGGAACCTGATCAAACGCCTTACTGAAATCCATGTATACCACATCCACTGCTCTACCTTCATACACGTGTTTGGTCAATTCTTCAAAGAATTCAATAAGGTTTGTGAGGCATGATCTACCCCTCACAAATCCATGCTGACTATCACAAATCAAACTGTGCCTTTCCAAGTGATCATAAATCCTGTCTCTCAGAGCCCTTTCCAATAATTTGCCCACCACTGACGTAAGACTAACTGGCCTGTAATTTCCGGGGTTATCCCTATTCCCTTTTTTGAACAAAGGAATGACGTTTGCCTTTCTCCAATCTTCCGGCACTATACCCGTGGACAGTGAGGACGAAAAGATCATCGCCAAAGGCCCTGCAATCTCTTCACTCGCTTCCCATAGAATCCTTGGATAAATCCCATCAGGCCCAAGGGACTTATCTATCTTCAACTTCCTCAAAATTCTGAGTACATCTTCCTTACTAACATCAACCTCCTCTAGCCTACCAGCCTGTTTCACACTGTCCTCCCCTACGACTAGGTCCCTCTCAAAGAAAAGTATTCATGGAGGACATCTCCTATCACTTTAGGCTCTGTACGCAAATTCCATTTACAATCCTTGATCAGCCCTACCCTTTCTCTGGTCATTCTCTTATTCCTCACGTACGTGTAAAAAGACTTGGGGTTTTCCTTGATCCTATCTGCCAAGGTTTTCTCATGCCCCCTTACTGCTCTCCTAAGCCCTTTCTTCAGCTCCTTCCTGGCTAACTTGTATCCCTCTGGAGCCTTTTCCG